CCCCCCCTTCTTTCTCTCTCTCTCCCTCCCTCCAGTACCTTGTCAGATTTCTTCCTCATCCTCCCTCCCTTATTCCCTCTTCCCAACTTGTACAAACATGCTTTGCAAAGTTTTGGGTGGGGAATGTTCAGGTATGCGTTCACACACACACACATATTTTGTCTGCGTGCCGCTGGTTTTGCAGACTAGGGAACAATGAGTCTCAAAAAGAGACTTTCCTTCAAGAGGACTTGGAACTTCAACACTGTAAGTAAACAGTGGCTTGCCGGCTGAATCTCCTCTTCCTCTCCTCTTCCTCTCCTGTGTGAAATGAGGAGACTACTTGTGTTCACTCAGCTGTTTTTGTCATTAATCTCACTCTTTGTCGCTCTTCTCACTCTCTCAGTCAGAACAGCTGTTTGAAGCGGCAGGGACTTGTCGGCTGTTTTGTTTTGTGGAGTGCTGGAATCGGCCATTATTTGTGTTAAAGTTTAGACCAGGCTTTTTGTACAGAAGTGTGAGGAATTTCTGGAAAGGCAACGTCTCGACCTAACTTTTTGAGGGCAGAGACGTGCCTAAACAAGCTCAAAAGATAAAAGAAGTCACTTTTTAAACATGTGAAACACACTCTGTGAGAGGTGATAGCGAGTGTGATTAACTAGGTGCTAATGGAGTTGGTCCTTCAACCATTTCACACTGATAAAAGTTTCAGTTGTGGTAGATCACAAACAAAGATCTGTCGGTGTGATCCTCTACGTTCCTTCAGCATGTGGTGTCTTGAGATGCCAGACTGTATGGCGTGGGGGGCTGTACCCGAGTAAAGCTGAAAGAGTGGTTTCCAGCTGGAGAGCCAGATCGTGCTTTGTTTAGAGCCAGCAAGCTCGCCATGACTTCAGTTGTGATATTGGCCATTTGGTTGACAGACTTGCAGCTTTTTAGGGGAATTCCATTTGGGAAATGGGGTATTTTCACTTTTGACTCTATAAAAGGGATCAAAGAGGGCCTGCAGTGCTACTGCGCCACCCACAGTGCTCTTGCTTGTCACCAGAGGTGTCAACAGAGGAAGGAGGTGTTACTGACTAGAGGTGCCAGGGTCATCACTTTGGCCTCATTGTTAGAGACTTGTGGGCAAGGAAGCAATAATGAGTTGGAAAAACACAACACACTGACATGTGTGCTTGTGTGTGGTCTAACTCCAGCAGCAGATATCATTTTGGCTTCTTATCTTGCCAACTTTTAGAAGTACACATTTGTACATGTGTCTTTGTATTTGACAAAAAGCTTTTAGATAATAAGTTAGTTTATTCATGTATGGAACCACTTCTGCAGAAATCATTATATTTAAAAAGAGGAACAAGCTGAACAGCCACATATTTGGTGAACCCATGGATGAGATTACAACTCCACTGACTAATCAGCAGGCCAGTATTACTGGCTGATATTAGCTATTTTTTTGATCTATTGTTGTTTTCATTGTAACTTCTAATGAAAATCATTGAAATAAGGAAGAGATTGAGAAAAAATATCTTTCAATCGTGTTATACATAGTTGCATAGTCTGCCCACCAGAGAACACTCTGCACCTTCTCTGTTAAAAGAATGCTGCAAAAACCCATGATCTGAGGTGAGTTGAGCAGAGAGTGTATATAAGTAATCAGCTAAACATCCAAATTTTGGGAAAATCCTTTGATGTTTCAAGTGTCTGAAAGAAAAACAAATATCAGCCAGTATATAGCAGTTTTAAACCACCAAATATCGGTATGTGTCTTAAAAATTCTATATCAGTCAGGCTCTAGATGACATGAAAATTGATGACATGAGCTTCCGAGTCTGTAAAATGAGACCAGTGCAAACCTTCATAAGTTCTAATGGCCAGCAGGGGGGTCACTCTTCAGCTTGCAATAAGAAGTGCAGTTGTATAAAAATTGGAAATACATGTGTGGAAAAATGACACACATGCTTGCATATGTGTAACATCAGTAAGCACTTTCCTGAACAGTTTATGTTGTCAATAATTAGTTGCCACTCATAGCACATTAACACTAAGCTGTATCAAGTAAAGTGCACTCCTATTTACAATAAAACTGAGCGTAAAGCAGAGTATGCTGTAGGGTGGAACTGCTGTGTGATTAAAAGGGGTAGGAAAGTAAATTGACAGGGACCCATTTATGTCTTTGTTATACTTTAAGTGACCACCAGTCCGATTTGGTCTGTTTGGGTCCGAGTGACACAAACTTCGTCATCACACTGTGAGCCTGAGGTTCCTATGGATGTCCGTTTGACCACGTGGACTTTACATTACAATGCTTCGACCTCAAAGACGTATAATAAGTATGACTAATCAGGTTGTGGTGTCTGTTCGTGCCGGCAACAGCGTATAATCAAGACTTAACATAGCAATTATTTTTGCATGCATGCCTCTATCTCGGTTTAAAGTTCGCTGTCTGGGACCTTTCGACCTCGTGAGCCACAGCTAATCCCCAAATCACCGATGTAAGAACTGCGTAAAGAACAAAGAGTCCTTCGACTTCTCAGTGAGTTACTCTCCTCCTCGCTCGTCACATCCGGTTTTCAGACGATCAAAATGTGGCTAAATGTTCAACTTTGCTGATGAACGTTTGGTGGTTGAAGGTGGTTATGGCACAGTGATGCAGTCTGTGTATTTTTGGGACGATCGCATAGACAAAACAAGACATTTGAACCCACTGCCTTGGGCCTTGGAAACGTCTTTATTTTGATAACTCGCTGTTCCATTTCAAAATATGACATGAATTTTAATTAAATTGGATAATAATTTATCATGTGGCTGTTAGTCAGATAAGATCAAATAATTAGGGTTTTGCAACATTCGAGTTTATTTGGGTGCTTTAAGACATTTAAGACTTTTCTGTCACTGGGATAAATTTGTCATGATTGTGGTTGGAACCAGGAGATTGCAACAAATGTCACAAGCGAGTGATTTATCGCTGCTCTCCCACTTTTTGTGTAATTTCTGCTCTTGCACAACATGGATAGTTATCTAATTTGTCATCCATATAGATGTGAGTATTGTAGCATCGAGAATAGCTAAAATGCTCTTTTCAGTATTTAACCTTTTGTTTGGTCCAAACCAAAATTCACGTCACAGTTTTTTTGGGGGGGTTTTCCCCCCTTTTTTTCTTAAACTGGACTCCAGCTGTGGTGCACTATATATTTAAGGTTTGAGGTTTAGCTGTTTTTAGACCCATAGGAACAGACAGATGGAGTGGGTGTTCTCTCTTTTCTCTCTTTCTTCTGTTTTGGCTTCACGTTGGTCCTCATCCTACCCACCCATGATTACTGTACACATGCGAGCCACCACAGAAGGGGTGGCTTTTTCGGGTGTTGACGATATAGGGGTTGGACTCAGCAGCGGCAGAGTTGTAAAGAAGGCTGTGATGGACAATTAGTGGTTTAGCGGTCTATGTCTGATAGAGCTTTTACATGTGGTCATTCCCAAAATGGAAACAAGCCGTCACGTCGGTGAGCATGACCGATCCCCCTAGTCTTTGTGCATAAAGTGAATAGGTTACCATCTGAGGTTGTGCTGAAGCTGACTGATTTAAAGCTCCTAATTGAAAAATAAGAGTTTATACAATGAGTAAAATCAGAGCAGGGGGACAAAAACAGTCGACGTTCATTGTTTTCGTTGTTTATGTCATTCCTCTTATGATATTACAGCTCCACAATACAGAATTACGTGAGTGTACCAAAGCACAAAGTCTATTTGCTGCTGAAACCAAAGCTGGAGCGTGGCAATGAGAGCCTTGTTTAGTCGTATTTATCAGCTCTGAGTATTCACACTTTGAAGTGGCAGCTCAGAAAACACTCCTCTGGAAATAGTGCCTCCTTTTCAGATGAATCCTCCAACGCACACTTTTTTTCCTTCTTTTTTTGGAGTTTTCTTGGACAAAGCCCTAAGATTCTGCCTCTCATATCCTCCGCTGCATGTAAATATATATTTATGCAGTGGCTCTCCAGTTTGCACGTTAAATCTTTCTTTATTAGTGGGGTTTACACAAGCCTAAACGCTGAGGCAGTGATTTTAAATTGAAGTATTGCCAAGTTAATATTCACTTATCCATGTTAAGCTCAGACATGGGTGGTGTTTTTATTGAGCCTTATTCTCTGGCTGTAATTACACTCCAATTAGGGCTCTGAGTACAAATGATTTCCATTGTGAATTAATCCACATATTATTTATCCCAATCAATTCATCTTGTTTTGTCTCAGCTGAAAATGTGAAGATAGTCAGTCAAACCAGTAATCAGCTGGGGATTCCTAATGTTAATTTCTCTCAATCTGCTTTCAGTGTATGGGTTAACTCCTGCAGCTCTACATAAACTTCTAAAAAGACGTCCGTGCCCAGTAGGGGAGCTCATGTCATTTGCCTTTCTTAGGGACATCTACACATGCATAAAACTGCAACTCTCCGAATTAACAAGTGAAAAGCTCATCGTTAAGCAGTCTGCCTTGATGACTCCTGATCCTGTGACTTCAGTTAGCAGGAATGCGCACGTTAGTTCAGAGCTGTGGGTGGGGTACCAGTGCGGAGGTGTGAACAGCTGTCCATGGTACGGGGTCGAGAGCCACCCACATAAAGTAATTGTGTAAGCCCCCCCAAGGTCCAACCCTTTCCAAGCAGCACACTCAGTTTTACTTACAAACCAGGAGGACACACAGCTCACAGGGATGCCTGAATGGACAGTGCTACCAGCCCAGCATTCAGCCTCTTGTGTCTGCGCAGGAGGTCACGAGGGCAACTTCTCACTCATGTCTCTCTTTGTTCTCTTCCAGTCTGCTGCTTCATCAGATGGTGGTAAGTGCAACTCTTTTTTTTTATGAGAGTGTGGAGAGGAATTCAATCTGTGTGCTTATGAATATTTACAATCTTAAAACTGAAGTCTTTTCAGCATTCATCGTTTGGTTCATTTTTGTTGCTTTTTTATTTCTCATTTTATATTCCGCCCTCAACACAGAACTTTGTAGCTGCTCAATAAAGTGACCTAATAAAAAGTCTTTTAGCAAGCATGATGTATTCGCTGTAGGCAGCATGCCTCGTTAACAAATGTTGTTTACCCAGCGTGGTTGGGTTGCTTTCATGGCTAAGCTTGGATGCTGTCTGGTCTTCCCTTTCATAGCAGTTTTAACAGCGCTTGCTAACAGGCTGACCGAGGCTGTGTTGAGGAGTGCAGCTCCGCTTCTTTCACAGTTGATGTGGATCAGACATGCACGGCTGTTTGCTTTCTAAAGCTGTCTCATTAGCTGAGCAGCCAACAGTGTAGTAAACATAGGCCCTCAGTCCTAATACAATAAGCCAAGTCCAAACAAATAGCTTGTCAGAAAACCTCAAACCAGGACTCATTTGACCGTACTGTTAAAAGAAATATGTTTACTCATAATTTATGGAAAACTAGTCTAATTTTAATTGGACATCTACTTTAACTAGGATGTGGTGTAGGCTAGGAAGGTCATACAGAGGCCACCTTATGTTTCTTTCCATTTGAAATGGGAATTTCCGAGTTCCCAGTCAGAATTTTCAATGGGAGCAACAGCCTCAAGTGGGACTTCCAACTCAGAAAGTCATACCTCCATTCCAGACACCTAGAAACCCATGAGTGACATCACTCCCCAGTTAGCTTGTTCCAGTTGTAATGTAATGTTTAAAAAAAAGAAAAAGGAAAAAAAACATTGGTTTTGGTTCTTAGCACCACAGAGCCTGGTAATGCTAACAATACAGCACAGTACTTGTTTTTGTGTGCTTAAAAACAGCACATCCTTGGATAGAGACTTTTCAGTTGTCTGCATATGGCAAATTTAGTGAGTCACAAATACACAACAGTGGCAGAAAGGATTAAAGGTTTTACAGGTTTACTACTGTTTACATTCACTGCTACTATCTTAGATTGTTAGCTAGCCGTGGGTGGTGCTGCCCTGACTTAACAAATTCAGGCGGTGTTCCACATTCAGATTCTAACTGAGAACTTCCAGTTTATTTTGGAACGACCCATCAGAGCGGCACCATTGAGCCCGACTTAACAATCCAAGATGGCGGCTGTGCTTTTAAACATTGGTAAAGCAGTTTGTGCTGCTGTACTATTTGTACGTTTGCAGTCAGTACAACCGCTGTTGTGTATTTGTGACTCGACAAATAAGCTACATGCAGACTGACCGTGCTCCACCTGTGAAAGCACAGTTTTTAAGTGCAACAAAAAAAAAAAGTACTGCATGGTTTTGCTAGAAGTGTTCCACCTCGCCAAGGAGCAAAATAAATCCTCGGTTTTCCGACACATTCCAGCTACTGGAATGTGCTCAACTTGGGAGTGATGTCACTACCCGAGGTAAATAGAACGCAGCCTTACTCACAGTCAGTGATGTCATCTGCTATTTAGTTCTTTTATTTTGGTTGCAGATCTAGCCCACTCATGCAGGTGGATTGGCAAGATAAAGATATGCAGTACTACACCTTACTTGCCCCTGCTACCATTCCTTTCTGAAATGTAAAAACAACCGCTTAATTTCAGTTGCCTGCGCCAGCGAATTGACTTTCCACAGAATGACAACCGTGTATGTGTAACCAATTTGGCTGAGACCCTTTTTGTTTTTTTTGTTTTTACTGTGCGCTCCTCACTCGATCTGCTCACAGCTCTAAAGTGGCCATCTGCCGCCATGATAGCAGGTACTGTGTAGGCTGAGGCCACCACTTTAGCTTTGTACCAGCTCCTGTATTGTCACCCACACTTCCCTGTGGCCTTCCCTGTAATCAGCTGTGTCGCCTTTCTTTCCTCCTTTTTATCCTCTGCACTCTCTTTCTGCTGCTCCCTCGTGCAATGTGAGCAACCTCTGCTGTGTCTTTGTGCACTTCTTGCCTTTCTAGTCTAAAAAGCTTTAGGGTAAATTTTCCCCTCTCTAACAGGATCATTAATTTTCTGACAAATTGTGTGTTCTTTCCTTTATTTTAGATTTGCTTCAAATAAAGGAAAGGAAATTATTGAACAGGTTGTGAGAATTTTGAGTGGACTGCATGAATAGCATTAGCACGAGCGCCAGATGTGATTGATGTACCTACCTTTGGAAATTTCTGGTTAACGAGGATCTCATTTCCATTTGCCATGGATTTAATTGCAGTCCAACTGTAGCTTTTGTTCTCAAAAACATTCAGTGAAGTTAAAACTGCTCAAAGGAAGTAAAACATACAAAACACCACTGTTATATTTAGAAAGGGTGAGAGGCCACAGTGGAGAATCTAGATCTGGTACCCCCCCCCTCTGGCTGGAATTACCCTTTAGCATCAGCGCTCTCTAACCTTTGCACTGCACTCTCCTGTCTCGCAGACTATAGTGGGATCCAGCTGCAGAGCTGCTGCAGCCAGAGCAGCCTGAACAGTAATGGCAGCCTTCCAGGAGCAGGCAGCAACCGAGGGGCTCCAGAGCAGCGTGTGGCCAGCTGGTCCTCCTGCTTTGAGCGTCTCCTCCAGGATCCCGTGGGTGTGCGCTACTTCTCGGTAAGCTTGGAGAAAGACTCCTTTCGGAGGTTATCAAGAGTGTTATTAAGGGGTTTGCTGAAAGCTTCTCTGTGCTTTAGATTTGAGTCACTGATGTAGATCAAAGTCCTGTAATTCCAGATGTTACTTTTGGAGACTAATGAGCAAAAAAGGAAAGAATATTTTGAATACTTGAGGCATTATTTAATATTTCTGAGATTAATAGAAACTAGCTCCAACTGCAACACGGACAGACGTGTTAGCAAACACTTCCAAATTATCTCTCTGCCAGTTTATTTTAGTTCTGTACTTGTTCAACTGATGACTAATATGCATCCATTTTAGCTCAATTCTGAGCTCCACTGTCTTCAGAGGGAAATATTTACATCCAGATGTACTATTAATATTAGTATTAAAGAGTTGATATAGTGTAAAAAAAAAAAGCTGTAGTGTGATATAAATGAATTCTTTTCCGTCTGGTTAAAGTGAAGAGCCATTTACCAACACTAAACCCTGGTGAGTGAGTGAGTGAGTGAGTTTATTGTCATGTACCATTTCCTCCCACATAAAAGATGTGCTTTTGAATTTAGCCCACAACACCTTCAGAAAGCTCAACATTAAGTTCTTCCATCCCAGAACCACCTCCCTCCTCACCTTCCCTCAGTACTGATCAGAGCTGCGCTCGCCTACACCATCCTGCGCCTACACTTACACCAATCTTGTTACATTACACCCAGTAATATCTGCCCGCTCGACTGGTCTCAACAGCAGCAGAACTGGAAAGATGAGAATGTGATCACCAGTTGAGATTACATAGACAGAGGGAAAAAAAAACCCTCTTTTACTGTGTGTTTCCACAGGAATTTCTCAAGAAAGAATTCAGCGAGGAGAATATCTTGTTCTGGCAGGCCTGTGAATACTTCAGTCATGTCCCTGCAACAGATAAAAAGCAGGTAAGCTACAGTGTGCAGCTGCAGATCCAGTCATAGTTTTGTTTGGGGGCCCACTGTGAATTGGTGGATTATCCCCTTTAACCAAAGGTCATACTAAAAAATATGAAGTGTTTAAGACCTGAGTTTTCTTTTTTTCTGTAAATCATTTGTCACACAATTAAAATAAGTATTATTTATATATTCTCTTTTAGCTTGACAGTCTAGCATACTTTAAAGCACACTGCTAATTTCCTATAACGTATGTGGAGCTTTTATTTTGAATGGTAAATGGCCTGTATTTGTATAGCGCTTTTACTAGTCCCTAAGGACCCCAAAGCGCTTTACACAACCAGTCATCCACCCATTCACACGCTGGTGATGGCAAGCTACATTGTAGCCACAGCCACCCTGGGGCTACCGGACACTGGCGCCACCGGGCCCTCTGATCACCACCAGTAGGCAACGGGTGAAGTGTCTTGCCCAAGGACACAACTGTCCAAGCCGGGGCTCGAACCGGCAACCTTCCGATTACAAGGCGAACTCCCAACTCTTGAGCCACGATCGGAAAGGAAGTGAGAAAAGTGCAGTCACCTTGTAGCTGCGGCGTTTTTGTACTGTGCTGTGTTGTTGTTTCCCACGATTATCTACAAAATCTTTTTTAAAATCTTGCTTTCTGTTTTCAGAATGATGCTGGGAAGAGATTTCTTATGACAAACAATGAGGTATGACTGGTTTTTAAATCTGCATACATGCAGGTAAGTGGAGAGTACACACAATACCAATGTCACGTTTTCCTGGCTGAGAGCAGGCCTTTGGGGCATTACAAGACACAATGTTCTTCTATTACGAACAGTAAACAACTCCTCTTTTTACCAGTCCTGCAAAATTAGAGTTTGTCGTCTTTTTACTTTAATAAATTTAAAACTGTAATAAATATTTTAACTACTACTTAAACTAAGATCACTGAACAAACTGAACAAATGTGAGCTTGTTGATTATATATTGGATGAAACAGGGTGTATAAAAGCAAGGTACAGTCATGATGTTAACAGTAACACATGGAGTCCTTTGTTAGTAACTTTCAAACTTCTGCTGAGCACTGAGGTAACGACAGGAAGTAAAAAAGCACAGTGCCAAGGCACGGTACAGTTTCTCTCTGATAACTAATACCTGCCTGCACTGCTAGAAGGTGCTAGAATGGATGACTATGATTGCATCAGTCAAAGCGAGTAAACGTTAGTTTAGATAATACTTTGGAAAAATTCAGCGCGCACAAACCAGCTGAGCCACTGTCTCTGCGCATGCTTGTGTCTGAATGCAGGCTGCTGGGACAAGTGTGACTTTAGCGCACAAACATGTTCCGCATGACACATGCGCTCCATCATTCCAGTAAGCCAACCAGAAAGTCCGCCCTGAGGCCTGGTGCTCTGTCGCCCGACAGACCTAATCCCCGGGCTTACTCCCTCCCATCTCACTAAAGTCCCCATTTGTAGTGAACACAACTCATCTGGCCAATGAGGCTCACTGGTTTTGCGCGCACACACAACAACATACCCTTTGTAATCCGTCCCTATTCTCTCTTTTATCTCTTTTTCCCACTCTGGGTTCATCCCTTTCATAAACATACACTGTGTGCAGTATAGACATGGGTAACCATGCGAGTATAAGCATTTGGGAGCACAAACAATTGTCCTCATTCCCTCGTTCTAACCGCAGGCTACAGTGTGCAGTGATAAGAAAATATCCTCCTCTTTCCTAGTTAGCTATTTTTTTTTATTATAGTCAGTTCAAATCAAGAGGAGAGATGAGACGCAATAAAGGAATTTAGCTGAAACGTTACGTTTAAAGGTACGGCAGACTT